ATTTAAAAAATTTGTAAATAATTATGTGATAAAATTGAAAGAATTTATATAAACCATGGTGCAAATAGCAAAAATCCATGGTGGAATAGTAGTTCTCTAAATAATATTTGAAATTATAAGTATATTCAATTTTTAAATAAAGTTTGGCTTAGTATTCCTATTAGACCAAACCGAATCAACTTTTCTTGAGTTTGAGTTTAGTTCAATTTTCAAATTAAACTTAAACTCAAACTTTTTTTAAAACTATGTTTGGTCTGAGTTTGATTTCAAACTATTCTTTAAGGTTTGGTTTAATTCAAAGTTCAGCCAAAGTTTGCAAACTAGTTCGAGTTTGATTAGTAGTATAGGTTATTATAGTCATGTTTAGAAAAGTTAATATATTATATATTAGCTCTAATAGTTAACTCAAATTAGACAAATTATGTAGATAATAAACTCAAATATATTAATTTTTAGCTTTTAAAGTTTTGGATAAAAAGGACTAAAGATTATACATGAAATAATATTTAGATTCTGAATCACTATTTATTTACTAGATTATTATCAAATTGATTTAAAAAATCTAGATACAGATAACCTAGTTGTCCCAGTGTTTGATTGGCTAAGAAAAATCAAATATAATAAAGACAATCAAGGTAGAATTAAGATAGACTATTTTATACAATTAACTAATTGTTTTTTTTTTTTTAAGCAGCTAGGTGCTTGAGTTGCTTAAAAGGAGTTAGAAATAAGTATACTATATCTAATATTGTAATATGTAATACAAGGATTTTATGTTATGATAGACTTTATGATTGCAATAGCAATAATATTGTAATTAGGCTCTATATATACTACAGATAATGCAAGAACATCATATTTGGTAATTGAGTCTTCTTATAAAAAAAGTTAAAATTTTTTAAAATTTTGTTTAGATTTTTATTATGAAAAATACTCATTTTTTGAAATAATATCTAAACAAAATCTGAATAGAATTTTGACTTTTTTTTTATTATAAATCTAAAAATATAATACCAATACAAGAATTTCATGTTGTAATTAGGCTCTGTAGCTACAAGAACTTCATATTGTAATTAGATTTTATAGCTATTATAGACAGTACAAGAGCTTTATGTTTAATAATTAAAAACCTTAGCTATAATAGCAGTGCAAGGATCTATATTGTGATTAGACTTTATAAATATAATAGCAATACAAAAATTAGTTGATCTTTAGTATAGCTAAGCAATATAGAATTATTATAAGATTATAATATATAAAAATAATAATTTAAACAAATTTATAAATAGTTAGAGTTAGGATGAGGGTTATAGCTTAAATTAGAATTAGATTAAGGTTAGAGTTAAAGTTTTTTTTATATTATAATCTTATAATATTTATATATTGCCTAGCTATACTAAAAAAGATTTCAAGAATCTCATATTGTAGTTAAACTCTATAGCTTATATTTGACAATTAATAATTACAATAATAGTACAAGAATTTTATATTGTAGTTAGACTTCATGGCTGTAATAATATACAAAAAATTAATAAAATACAAAGTAAAAAATTTTATTTAAAAAAATTCTATAAATATATATACTGTATATATAATAAATAAATGAAGGTCTATTTAATAAAATTTAAATAGTGCTGATTATTGTAGCTAATTACTTGATAATAACTGGCATATATTTAAAATCTCTATAAAAAAGGTTGTTCTGTTTTTGTTCAGCTTTTGTCAATATTGTTCAAAAAAGTTCAAAACGGAGTTATTATTGTAGTAAAGGTGAGACAAAAATTGTATATATTTTTATAATGAAAAATTTAAAAATATGCAATTTTTGTTCTGTTTTTATATTATAATAACTTTATTTTGAACTTTTTTTAAACAATATTAACAAAAACTAAACAAAAGCAGACAAAATTTTTTTATAGAAAATGTACTATAAAAAGAAAAATATTATAAGGTTTAACTAATAAGACAATATAAGCAATAAATATAAAATTTATTGTTTTAGTATATATATAAGTTCAAAATAAAGTTTTATAGCAATACATACTAATACGTATATTGAATTATGGAATCAAAAGCTAATTTAATTTTGAATCTGATAAATACAACCTGAATAATATATATATTAGTGATAGGTATATTAGTAAAACAAAAAAAAGATTCTTTAATATATAATATAAACATCTATAATAAATATTAAATTCTAACTTCTAACTTTAAAGAAATATTAGAATGATTTTATATATAATATGAATTTTCTTATCCTAATACTAACTACTATATATAAGATTAAATAACTAATTTAAATATTATTAAATATTGTATTTCTAATTAAATATATAAATATAATATCTTTAAAGCATTTTTGCTAAAAAAAATTTTAAAAGATCTATCATTTTAAATACTTAGATATTAGTATATCTTTTATAAGTTTGGTTTTTAACTTTTTTAAAAATATAGATATTAGAAAAGCTTTAGAAAAACTATATTTATTAAATATGAATAATACTTAAAATTTTAAAATTTTAATAGGTGTAGCAGCTTAGTGAAGTGGTTTAGTCGTTATTTCACCAAGCAGCAGATCTAGAGTTTAAATCTTATAGATGATATTTTTCAAAAAATAGATTGTATTAGGTAATAATTATCTATTGATCAGTTGGATCTATAATTTGTAATCTTGATTGTATTATCTTATTATGGAAGCTTTGGCACAAAAATGCCAAGAAACTAGGATGATCAAAACCCATTTGGGAAGACCCAAGTAAGGAGGTAGTGGATACTTTTGATGGTGCTACAGAATAGTCAAATTTAGATATGATAGCTGAGATTGGAGAACCAAATAACAACAAGATTCTTAAGTAAGGAGATCCACCAATCTGACTACCAATTGGAAAAAAAGCTAGCACACCAATCTAGTTAGCTAGCGTGGGAAACCAGAATGGTCATCCACTATGACTAGGATTTGGAAGTTAGGTTTTACCTGATGACAAAGGCTGGGCAATCTCTGAAAACTAACCAAACCCAATTGAAGAAAAAGAACATATACTATAAAATCATGTACTATGATGAGACGGGGTACAAGTCAACTAGAGCCTAGCCAAAGTCGAATCTTCCGGGTTACAGGTTGGAAGTAAGGGAGGGACCAATAAGGCAAGAACAAAAAAAAGAAAACCTGAATGTGAATACTGGGATTGAAGTGAATCTTACAAGGGTATAGCAGTTCAATTAAGTTACACCAAACTGCAAGTAGAAGCCTCAGCAACTGTGATAACTAGGTTAGCCAGATATGGAATATGGAAAGCTCTAGTAGGTTTATCTCGAGGATAGCCATGCGTCCACTCAACAGAAAAATGCAAGCTAGTAATTAGTTAGTGCAAACCCAGGATAAGTTATAGAAGTCCTAAGGCAAGGTGTGCAATCTAGTAAAATGAGCTAGATAGTAGTTCTTGGGTTAGTATAATATGCTAAAAATGGTTAAGATCAGGTCCATGTCACTTGCCTGACAACAATTTTCTTGATATCCATTTCTCCAACAATATTTTCCCAACATACCCCTTCTCCGACAACCATTTCCCCAATGACCACTTCCCCAACATATCCTTTTCCCCAATATACTTTTTTCTCCAACAACTACTTCCTTGACATCCCCTTCTCATACATATTTTTTTCCTAACATATTTTTTTCTAACATATTTTTTCTCTGACATATTCTTTTTCTTCAACATTCACATTTTTCAGATATTCTATTTCCATGACATTCCTTTTCCCTGATATTTTCATTTTTCTGATATTTTCTTTTTCCCAACATTTCTTTTCCCAACATTCTATTTCTCTGATATTCTCTTTTCTCAACATTTCTATTTTCCCAATATTATCATTTTCTCGATATTTTCTTTTTCTCGATATTTCTATTTCTCTGACATTCCCTTTTTATAACTCACCCTTTTCACCAACCCACCCTTTTTCTGATATCTCATTTTCCTTGACTCATTTTCAACATCTCCACTTTTCTGGCATACCCTTTACCCTTTATTTTTCCCCTGACCCTTCCTTTCCAGAATATTCACTTATTTTTTTAATTTTTTTTTATTGCTTTTTTAAATTTTTTTTTTGTTTTCATGTTTATCATTTATTATCATAGGCAGACATTCGTATAATTGGCTATTTAAATCAATTTAATTTTACATTATTTATACAGTTTAAAATGCTTTTTAAAAAAAATAAAACTACTATGAATAAACAAAAAAAAAGTATATAAAAAGTTTTATTAAGGTTGTAGGACTATATTATGAAAAATAATCAAAAT